TGTCGTTTTGACTCGTACCCAATATGCAATTGCCAAATATCTTTGTGTATATCATCATGTTCTTAACCCTTTGAAGCTTACAAACAAAAGGACAAGCATAATAAGATTAAACAAATTAAGGGTCCCTCCTCCACTCTTAATTAACCCATTTCAATAATTCCTTTTGCAAAAAATTATTGGGAACCAAATAAAACATAATGAGTAGCTTTTCGAAAACAATCTGCCTTCATTCATTCTACAATTTCCTAGCCATACAATGAAGGACAAAGTATGGTACAAATTGAATATAAAAGAAGAACAACGACTCTACTTCAAAAGTTTATTAGCTACACTTTCTCATGTGTTCTTAAATTTAGACATGTATTCAGAGTATCTTTTTTTTTTTTTCTTTTTGATGTTCTGACCATCGTAATAATATAGAGAGCGACGAGTGACAAATAATATCATTTAATTATTCAAGAGAATCAATGTCAATAAGGTGTAATCAGTTGTCTTTTGACAAGACAAAGAGGCGCGTATTCAAGTTGGTTGAGTGGTCTGTATGAGTTATCGTTAGAAAGTTGTATTATTATTGTTTGTATTGTTATTAATGTCTATATATATATATCATTAAATCATTAAAATAAATAATTTATAATAAAAACTATTATCAATATGTAGATATAATTCGATTTAATAGAATTTGATTATTGCCACCTACTCCTTATATAATTTAATGGTAGATACATTTATTTATTTATAAAAAAATTATAAATTTAAGTTAAAATATGCATCTATGTATATTTTTATTTAAAAATTATTTGTATAGGATATAAATAATATATGTGTATTACATAGTTAATGAACTTATATTTTCTACTAAAGAAAGATCTTCTTGGTTATCTTTTAAACACTTATATATTTATATTACATATAACAATGAATTATCCAATGATAAGTGTCCTATTTAAAAACCATATATAAGACATATAGTGCCATCATATATAAGCAATGACTCTAGGGAAGCCACATGTCCTTAATTCACTAACACTACTCTCGAGTTGATTGCTGTGAAGTGAGAGTTCACAACCAGTCTTCTAGTCTCTCAAGCTTCATTCCAAGCTACTCAACATCACCTGTTTATTAATGGCGATATTTTGTTTCTGATGGGCCCCAAAATGCTAATTGTTCCATTGTCGATCACAAAAAGAATATGAGAGATTCACGAGGATAGAGTCTAGAACTTGCAGGAGATACATATAATATATATTTATATATACGGGGAAAGAGATGATGATGATGATATGTTGGTAGACCGTTTCTAGTGCTGTACACTTGGCTTTTAATCAATCTGTAACATGACTCTCAGAGGACCAGTTGTCCAATGAAATGAGGTTACTGATTGTTGATGACGAAATTAGGGTACCCTACAATTTTCCTCTGAATAAAAATCACCAACTTGTACTTATAGCCACCTTTAGTGCTGTACACATGGCACTGCTTCCTTCTTCTGGTAGGGGTAGGGAAACTACTTCTTCCTTTATGTTCTGTATCTTGAAAACATCAATATTCCGTCAATCTACTACACAACAATCAGCCACTCGACAAATACCCATATACATATATGTATATGGTATATGGCATACATGGGGTGGATGGTATAGACAGACACCCGCAAACAGTACTCGGCTATCAACCACATCTCAATGATAGAAACTCTTCGTCTCTATATTTGTACGTGTATGTATACTAGTGTTGGGATGTATGCATGGACTGCCCAAACATCTGCCACTTTGACACATAATATACACACACTTATATTGATTAGCTATACATCAATCACATCGTCACAACCCTCACTATATATATATATATATATATATATATATATATATCATGCGTGTAAAATATCATGCATGTATATTTATTAATTAATTCCCAACAGGGGAAGCGATGAACATTTTATATCTCTGATAACTTGACGCTTTGTTAACCTAAAATTTTGATTTTCATGTAGAATAAAGGCCTTATACGTAGGGATGTTTTTCATGTTTATAGTATATGTATATGTATACATGCTTAGTAGTAACATATGTATATATTCATACACTAAAATAATTGCCAACAAATTATTAATTTAATAAGAAATGAACAATAAACTATTGAAGTTTATTTCAAAATTATAGAAAAAAATATTATTTTACCCAATTATTTATTGAATTTTTAGAAAGATTCAACCAAAAATTAAAAACGAATACATTATCTTAAAGACATCCCGAAATTATCCGGATTGAAATATTATTTTTTAAATTAAGTTTTGAATTAATAAATACTATTAGATCGAATAAAATTAGTAAAAAAAAAAACAAAAAAGAAACTCGTAGAATCACATAAACAAGTAAGATTTTTGTATATTTTCATTAATCCATAAACATTATTTATATAAATACATACATCCATTGGTTTATATATGATTTGACATGAAATTATGTCTTTGAAAATGAATTTATTTGATTTATTAAAAAAAAAGATATGTTTTTTTAATTATAATATAAATTTTTATAATTAATTATAAAAAAAATTTAGAATCAATCATCTTTAAAAAAATTCGTAATAATTTACTGATCGAGCGCTCTTACGTCGAAAATAAACGGAACTAAGTAATCTATTAAAATTATAAGATGTAAAAATGCATCGATAGGGGAGCGTTCTACGAAATACCCACGCAAGCGAGGGTGGACGAAGCAGAAGCAAGAATGTCGGTTTAAGTAAATTAAACATTAATGAAAACCTGATGCTCCGAAACCCTAAAGGTTCCTCCGCAATGTTTGATTATAACATTATGGAAAAAAAAAGTTTAATCAACAACAAAAATAAAAAAATTTTTTAAAAATTATTTTTGTCTGAAAAATCATTTTTTTGTACTGTTCATTAATAAATTTTTATATGGGTATGATAATAAATTTCAGGTTTATAATTGATATATATAATATATATATATATAGGTTTGGATGGGACAAACTAAACCCTAAATTTGACATTATTGAATTGTGGTTATAAATGCTTAGCAAGTAACTTGTCATCTTGATGTTGTAGTCGAGTTGAGTTTGCATTAATTTGTATGTCTCGACGTGTATGGTATTTATGCATTACCCATGGATTATATAATATATTGTAAGCAGTTGTTGGACTAGTTCAATTATTGGGTTTTTTATAAAATAAATATATATATATATATATACACACACTTAATTATATAGGTGATATATACACACACACACACTATAATTATAACATATTTTTTCAACAAAAACATATGAAAATGAGCATTTCAATTCCAACCCATGATTTATTTTTTATTAATTAAATTATACATATACAATAATCATAATATATTATTTCGATGAAAATAGTTCAACTCAAATTTATATATTTTTTTAGATAAAAATACATACATATTTTATTAATTAAATTGTCAAAAAAGAAAATCTATGTATAAGTACTGATACATTCGTCTATTTTTCGTTATTTAACCGTCTATTTATTATAATTTAATTTTTTATAATTATTAATTTATAATTTTATTTAATCACTTGTTTATTATAATTTAATTTTTTATTATTTTATTTTAATTTTTTATAATAATTTATAATTTTTATAATTTTCACCAACTAAGCATAATCTTGTGCTAAAGGCTGTGTTTTTAATGGATGATATGACATCGTTCAATTCCTTATCTTTGCCTGTAAAATTGCCAAGTCAAACACTTGACATCGTTAAGTCCCTTATACTTGTACTGAACACCCACACCCGAGGAATGGTCAGTGGAGGGCACCACATAATTATGCTTAGGAATTTAATTACCTAACAATACTCCGCCATTGATAAACACCTGCAACACAGTTTGTTGGAAGTTGATTCAAAATTATGAAAATTATAACGATTAAAAAAAAACTAAAGTAAAATAACAGTAAACTAAATAATAATAAATAAGCATCTTCTTTGTGCTAGTTTAATGTTTACTCCTGATTTACATTTATTCTAATAAGGACCGGTGTTAAAAATTTGATCTGTCAGTATATTCTTGATCCAAGGTTTGAAGTCCTGGCTGTTAAAAATTCTCAGTGATTGATGAAAACTAATTCTTTGTTTGTGGCAGTGTTTGCTTTTTTTTTTTTGGTTCTGCTTCAATTTTCCTTTAAAATTATGTTTTTCAATTGAAGTTTGTAGGCATAAAATCTAAACAAAGTCTTAACTTAAATGATTGTTCAATAGGGGATGCTTCTTGAATTTGCCAAGAACTTGGCAAATTTTGCTGCGAGCAGTGGAAAGAAGCATGCTGTTGTGCTTTCCAGCTTAGACTTTGGGAGGTGGCAGAAAATTGACATGTCAAGGTATTCATAGCAGTATCCTTCTTCTCACCTGCCACTTCCAATAAGCCTCAATATTCAGAAATCTCAACTTGGTGTACCCTTGTCAATTGTTTAGTAGGGAGATCTGCATCATAGGCACACCTGTTAAATCTCCATAAATTTGAAAGTGCAAGTAAAACTAGGTTTTACATCTATATTGTGGAATGGATAACTAAGGTTGTTCATTATGATCTTATGCTTGAGATTTGGTTCCTTATTAATGTTTTAATCTACGTGGAAAGAAATTGTGCATATTGCAATATTTAACAGAATCATAAATTTTTGGGTGCTGATTAACTCTCCTGATCATGGCAGAATCTGCTCAGCCTTTTCCTTCTCATCCATCTGTTTAAAATTTCTTGGAAAAATTTTGCTAGTGTTGTCCATTTTTTTTTCATTAAAACAGTTGTCCGGACTCTCTGCCTCTCTCTGCCTCTCTTTGTTCCTCATTTTGTCATCACTTTTTTTTTTTGTTTTTATTGAGGACATTGTAATGTGGCTACTCAGCCAAACCATCA